TTGTACCTTTATACACAGTCCTCATAGGGACTGTGTTTTATAGTAGAAAGGTGTTAGCCACATCACTGCTAGATCAAATATTATTACCTAGTACTGGCGGCCCTAATTCCTCTTCCATTGGATAATCATGACTTAAGATGATTACATTTTAAAGATCACATTTAAATAATCAGGATATTAAACAATGTAGTGTAAAATTTGCATATAAATTACAATCTGCTTAAATACATCTAAACAAACAGTGGCTATTGGTATTGTAAACACACATTATATCATAATATTACACTACAATAAACCTGCGTGTTTTCCTCCAACAGTACTGGTACATAAATATTTTTCCCCTAGTGGTATATTGCTAGTCACCAAAGAACTTTCTGTTCCAGTAACTTGTTTTTTTTTCTCCTGGATCTGGTGTATAGTACCAGCTGGAAACTGTCTGATGATCATTATTACAATCATCAGACGGTAGGTCCTAATCATAGCTCTGAATATAACTCAAGTTTTTAACATGTCATTCACTGTAAATACAACTGCTGAATAAGTAATAAGAATCGATGTGTGTTGAGGCAACACACTCAACCAGACTGTACATAAAATCTCGGCTACTTTTACTGTGGTGTCATGACACTCGCTTGCATTGTACAAAAAATTGTGACCCTTCCCTTTATACCTACACAGATTACTGTAACCCTCCCCTCAACACGTGCATGAAAATCAGTGACACCCCCCCCCCAAAAAAAAATCAACCTACCCCTCCTGTACTTTCTGTCCAGTCCCTAACGGGTTGCATCGCACAGTCTTTGGTATGTGAACGCTCCATAGACTGTTTAAAGAGTAGTAACTATCGACGATTAAACATTAGATGCATGCAAGTAGCTAAAACGGCACAACGGCTAAAATGGCGCGTGACAAACACTATATATTCTTCGAGAGGTATGGCTAGACAGTTTTAAACACAACTCGGTAGGAGACTTCAATATCCCATTCTGCCTCAGGCTGCCTACACAAGAAATTACAGAATTGTGCGGAATCCTATGTATCAACGTTGTCTTTTTAATAAACCCATTCATAAATTTAGGGAACAGATTATTAACACAACTACAAAAAATAACCAAGATCGTTGTTTCAGAACCGTTTCTAAGTGACAGAAAAGTGATTAATTATTATCAGTCAAATGCCCGCAAATGCGTCCAGTCGGGATTTCTTTAGCGGTCAGGCTAATTTTCGCGATCACGCTAAAAGGAATAAAAGAACAATTAATTATTTCTTTTTGTAAAACAAAAAAGTCCCGACTTTGCCAGTCTAGCGACATACGTGTGGCGCAATGATACGCTAGTCGAATTTCAGTTGACTATACTGTGTAATACACACGTTTAGTGTACCTACTAAACACTGGCTTGCATATATTAAAACTACCTCTCATCCAATCACACTCGTACTTTTACAGATGTGACTGTCACGAGGTTGAATGATATTCAGCACAAACAATCCTGTCCGTGAAGGATACCACCCAATCCCGTGATTGTGTGTTCTTTTATTTTACCCATAACAAACAGGGCCACATGGGACCTCTCGATAAATAACCAGATTGGAATCGTAAGATAGCAATTGCAGGGTATAACGTCACTCTTATGTAATGAAAACACAATATTGGTAAAAATCAATAGATTTAATACACTTATGCAATAGCACGTACAATAAATAAGTGTCTCCAAACAATACAATCAATAATAATAATAACAATCAATACTACAGCCTCTGGAATTCCCCATACTAATGTGAGTGTGTGTATGGGTTACCGGTAACAAATGCCATAGTCTTTGTTAGTCAGCCTGTGGTGGTATCAAATCGATGATTCCCTTGTCTTCAGTCAGCATGATATTCAGTGGATTGGTATGTTCTCATCACTATTAGTGGCTTCTATTATCGGCCTAGTAGAACTCTTTGGTCAGTCTTCATGCAGCATGGCCCGAATCTCTTCACGACTTGCAGGGAGAGACCGCGACCACAACCTGCTCACACCTCGGTCACCAAGGGAAGACTGCCTCTACATGTGCTTCCAATTCCACTGGAGTTTCTCCAGGAGGAGTGCAGGAGTGGGGACAAAGGTTATTTCTATTCTTTTGTTCTAGTTGTCTCCAATCTGGCAGTAATTCAGTCAAGTTAGTTTCCTACACAGTTTGGCAATGATTCACAATGTCCTTCAGCCAAGTCAGTGATACTGTTCGGTAGTAATTAATTCTCACGTTTTTGCAAATACGCTGTTTTCCATAAACACGCGTCTATAAACTACAATGTTCTGCCAGGAGCATGCCTAGGTGGCATTGTGACGTCTTGACCGTAAAGTGTACGTATGCACAAAAATCTTCCTACCTTTCTGTATTAAACACACTGTCTAGAGGCTGGACATGTATAGATAAACGGAACAGACCAATTGTGATAGATTTTCTGACGAACCCTGCGACAGTGACACACTGATGAAATATAATATAGTGAAAGCAATATAATTTACCCATCTGTGTATCGTTATGGATGTGTTCAATTTCCTATTTGAAAAATTTACACATTCATGTCACATTGCTTTGTTTACATTAAACGCAATAATGTAGCACGCAGTCGAAGTATAATCATAAGTCGATGAACACAAGCAGACAGGCACGAATAATTTCGCTGGCACTTCGAACTGTTAAATCTCACTAAATTATGAATGCAAGAGGAAAAGGGTGTATAAAAAAAAGGTTATTATACCAATACAGCAATATATGCACGATGGCAGTACAAAGACCATATACATGAATGCGTATATGTATTCATATGGACATTTTTTATTGATATAATGCAAATTATAATGGGAGTCACAACAACAAAAATCAACATACACATAAGTCTATACCTCTTGATAAGATATCAAAGTAGGATCAATGAAACAATACTAGGATTAATAAAAAATGTTTGAATAAAAAAGGAAAAAAAAATACATGTATACAACAGAGACAACAACAGGGTGGACAGACAATCTCCCTCAATTGATCTAGTTTAAGCAGAGCGGGTCATATTTCATTTAAAGATTTTAAAACTGACTATAGTACTTAATTGAAATAAATAAATGAGTGCAGATACTGTGAAGTGTAAAATTTGAATTTATTTCATTTCTTAAAAAAAGTTTAAAAGGCAAAACATTATATACAATATTACACAAGTTCTACAATGCTATGTAAAACAATATACATGATAAATACCTCAGATTCCGTAATGAAGCAAGAATTCTTGTAAATCCATTCACATTTTAGATTACAGCAATACAATAACACTTTATTATCACTGTAAAGAAATTATAATCTTTTTGGGCTCTGAGTAATAAAGTTAAATTAATGAACATGAACACAAATTAATTATAATAAAAGTATTAAAAAAACAAAGAAAGTTACTAAATGCTTCATATTGCAGTGATTTAGGTATAACACTACACAAAAGTAAACGTTATTTTCTCTATTTTCAAGTATTTGATATACATTGTATCATCATGTTACAAATGATGAAGAAAATAATAATAATGATGATGAAATATTATGTTTTGTCTGTTTCCTATGGCTAGGATATATCTCAATAGCTCACTTTTTGATGTCTAGAAGTATTAAAAAATGGCAATATTCATATTTTATTAATGTGTTTTCAGTGTGGTCTAACTATATAATCATCAGCTAAAATACCATTTTGTGCATATTATTTTACAGCTTTTCTCATAAAACAAATTGACAATGAACCAAAAAAGTTCACACACTATTGACAATGATTAATTGTTACAAGAAAGATTTTCGCATAAAATAATGTTACTGCTATATATGCTAATATACCGGTATGGAAATATAAAAAAAGCACAAGTAGCATTCTACCGATACCTTAAGGTAAAACTACCAGTAATTGAGTATTATACATGTTTATAAATAGTATGTAAAAATTGTAAACACATTATACATCACATGGGACCTGTAACGAACATGGCAAAAATGTAAGTTAAAATGACACACAATTTTTTTTTTTAATTTTAGAATTATTTTCTTGCAGGTTATCTCAAATAGTTCATCATTGTTTTTATGTTTTATTGTCATAATTTCAAGTTTATAAAGTCTAAAATTAGAGAATATCGTTACTTTATTATGTACAATTGTTGGAAAATATCATCATCTATGTAGTTTTGATCACCAAGTGAGATGCACACAGGAATTATTACAAAGTATGGCGCAACGTTTAACTACCTGTATATATATAATAATGAATGTCATGAATTTTACTTATTACATCGAATACTTGTACAATATATGAATGTACAGACACTAAGTAGAATTAGCATTACGTTTACTTTAATTCGTTTGGTTGCTTTCCACATGAATGAGAAAAAGCAAAACCATGCCTTGCATATATGCAAACAATTTGACTAAGATGATTTTCAGCCTCTATTTGCATAAAGCAAAGTATGTCTATAACACAAAAAAAGTAATAAACACACTAACACGATCAAATAACATTTGTTTTGTTATCAGGTTCTCAAGACAAAGCACAATGCCTTAAATGGGCAATGGCATTGATATTGTTTTAATCTGTAGTACTCCTAATCTCATATCAGGTTGGTTCATAATTACATTTTGTGGATGTGTCGCAAATTGATGTGCTCAGTTTTTGAACCAAACACAAACTAATAATGACCAAAATCTTGATTAAAATTCTACTTTGATACATGCCTGTTTTCTACAACTACACAAAAACAATTTATCTATTTGAACAACATTGTTTACTCCTATCTACACCAGCATTATGTCATTGGAGATCGCCAACTATTAGAAAGGTGTATTTCATGATAAATATTTTAAGTTGAAACTGTCATTTATATATACATCCTTCTGAATGAGCTATCAGTTACCAGTAGTTAAAATCAACCCATAATGTTTAAAAAAAACAAAAAAAACTTTGCAATATACATGTACACCATGCACGGTAGTGGATTAGCCAATAAAAACTGATATTACAACATTAATGGCAGAAACAAACATTACAGTAATAGTTGCAACATTGTTGTACTGAATGGCTGTTTTTTTCTCCTCTTCATCAACACCATCATCATCAAAATCTACAAAATACTGAAAAAAGGAACCCATGATAAATTAATTATCTGGTATTATAGTCGCATCAGCTAAAACAACCAATGTACTAGTCACATTGTCTAAAAAAAGTTAAATGGCACTTACCTTCAGAGCAAGGATAATACTGACACATAATTGCAGTACCATGGATAACACTATTAAAGTAATTAGCATATAATAGAAATCTCCACTCGGTCCCTGCAAAAGAACACCTTTTAACTGTCCAGCATTGGCAGATAGCAGTGACATATTTAGAAATCCCTGTGCTACAGTCTTTGTACTGGCATAAGTTGAACTTCTGGATCTTTGATGCAGTGGAAATGATGGTGGAAGCAGAGGACTGTTCTATAAAGTATAAAAGCTTATTATTATACATCTTTTCCTCCCAATGATACATTATGGGAATGCCAAAATCCAAAAAGTTTAGAACAGAATCAGCGAACATATTTGTGTGGAACCCACTCAAACCCTGGTGGCAACCATATTTGTTTTTATTATTAGAAGTCGCTTATGTGCGTAATTTTTCCATATTTAGAATTTGCATTTCCTAATATGGTAAGATGAACAAGCCATGCATGGCACAGTCCCTGTTAGTTATCGAATTTAAGATATACAGTTTTGTTTATAGTAATATAGCTGGAATATAAACATGTCAGGAATATGATTATGATGATTGTTTAACATTTAAATGATTGACATTTGTATCTGATCGTCAAACAAGTATTGAGAGATATTGCTCTGGAACAGCATTAATTAAAACAAAATCAGCCATTTTGAATACGTGTACAATGAATATATAAAATTTGAACATAGTCAGTCAAAGCATGTCAGAGATATAGCTCTAGAAACCCATTCATTTAAACAAAATGGCCACTAGTCAGCCATTCTGAATCCGATCTAAAAAATAAAATAACCTGCACAAGGAATCTGTAATGTCTAATGTATGTACCAAGTTTGAACAAAATCCATCCATAAATGCCAGGAATACTTGATATTTGATGATTTTTTAGCACAAAAATGGCCACCATTTGGCCATTTTTAATAGGATCGTCAAACCACTATATCTGTATATCTATGACATGATGTACAATGAATATTTAAAATTTGAACATAATCAGTCACAGCAAATCAGAGATATGGCACTAGAACCACATTTATTAAAACAAAATGGCTGTCAGTCAGCCATTTTGAATCTTATCTGAAAACAAAATGACGTGCATCAAGGTCCTATAATGTTCAATGTATATACCAATTTTGAACAAAATCAATCTGTAAAAAGCCGAGAAATGCTAGATTTCGATAATTTTTAGAACAAAAATGGCTGCCATTCGGCCATCTTAAATCAGATCATGAAACAAATTGATGTGCATATGTATAGTATCATGTATGATGTATGTGTGAAGTTTGATTGTGATTGGTCCAGACATTTCTAAGATACAGGTTTGGACGCACACACGGACGCACAGATGCACAAAAGCAAGGAGGTCAAAACGTAAGTCTCTGTTTTCAGACTGTGTCCGATCGGGGAATAATAATTAGTTGATTAAAAAAATGAAATGATTTTAAAGCCTACATATCCTTAACTAGAAGTATGGTATTTAATCACCCACATTTAAACCACACTCAGTCCTGATATGTATGCATATAGGCTGGGTAAGGCACATACTTGCAGGAAATAAGACATGTGTGAGACCATCTCACAAGGGGGCATGTCAAAATGCTAAAACTTTCTTTTTTTTATCCACAATTCGATTACAGAATTACTCATTGTAGGAGAACGTTGTGGCAGCTGGACTTGGCATGTCACTACTACTGTCCAGGTAACATAATAAAACAAATGACAAACCCATTGTTATGTGAACAAAACAATGTAAACAAGCCATGCATGGCACAGTCCCCGTTAGTTATCAAATTTAAGATACCGGTATATAGTTTTGTTTATAGTAATATAGCTGGAATATAACCATGTCAGAAATATGATTTTTTAATATTAAAATGATTGACAATTGTATCTGATCGTCAAACAAGTACTTGTCCATATTGAGAGATATTGCTCTGGAACAGCATTCAAAATCAACCATTTTGAATACATGTATATATATAACATGATTTATAACGAATATATAAAATTTGAACATAATCAGTCAAAGCATTTAAGAGACATGGCTCTAGAAGCCCAATCATTAAAACAAAATGGCCACCAGTCAGCCATCTTGAATCAGATCGTGAAACAAATTGACGTGCATATATATAATATCATGTGTGATGTATGTGTGAAGTTTGATTGTGATTGGTCCAGGCATTTCTAAGATACAGTTCCAGACGCACGCACAGACGCACGCACACACGCATGCACGCACAGACACACAGAGGTCAAAACATAAGTCCCTGTTTTCGGACTGCGTCCGAACGGGGACTAAAAACCCTGTAAAATACCACAAAATAATACAAGTCGTGTCATATATAGAACAGTTAGCTATGCTGAATATTTTGTTTCAGCTGATTTCAGTTTCAAAACCCTGAGGAAAGTGTTCTAGGTTCTTCATGTATAATTATAGGTGTTCGTATACAAGAAATTTTGAGAAGAGAAATGAGCAATGGGTACAATGTGGTGGTTAGCATGTTCAGGTCTCATCAGAGGGATTGTGGGATTGATTGTGATGCTGTCTACTCAACAGAATAAATCAGAGGACAGTCTGCCCTTCCGTGCCTTCCAAAAATATGGTATTTGGTTTGGGAGATATTTGCTTTTGTACCAAAAACAAAATAAACTTCAGGAGAAATATGAATTTAATGTCTAAAAGTGACATCTGACACAAAAAATATAAAAACAAAAAATTTGTTCTCCCCTACAAAACGCTTGTTACTCCTTACTCTCTCCAATAGTATTCTGAGAAGTTTGGTGAGTGGTCAACAGAGGGCACTGTTTATCATCCAACATTTGCTGGTGCACATCAAGTAGAAACATGTCTGCTTACTCACAGTGACACACTGAATTAGTTGTGGGTTTGAATCTTGCCTTGCATGGTCTATATGTTTGTAATTGACATTGCTTCAGAGACAAAGAGACAAATGTACAAAATAAAATGTGAGATAATACCTTATTTTGCTCATTTGGATTGATTGATTTTACATCTTGATTGAGGTTTATCACAGAATCCTCCATGTCATCTGATTTAGTACTGCCAACATCTTCCACAACTACCTGTACATTGCATTTCTCCTAAAATTGAAAAATATTGTGATTATTGTAAACTCTCCAAGTTTTCATATTGAGCAAATAATTGAAAGAAGTTTTAGCAACATATGGATATCTCTAAAACAGCTGGTCAGATTTCAATAGGCTTTTTTTATACATTTTGATGATACATTTAAACATTGCATTTAAATAATATAAATTGTTTAAAATACCTTGTTTGTAAGATTCTCAAAAATATTCTAGAAATACTGAATTTATGCAAGGTTGCTATGAAGTAGAAATGCCACATACTTGGGCAATGTTTTAGTCTAAGAGTAACTTTAATAGAAAATATGAGTAAATACCCGTTACCATTAACACAGAATTCTTGAAAAAGTGGTTCAAGTAAACAATGCCTTGATGCAAGCTTGCCAACACTAATGGCCATCAGTCAGCCATTAAAGAAAAAATTAAAAAAATAATAACCCACAATCTATAATCACCCTCCCATGTTTGCATAAGACAGACAGTCATTTGTCGATAGTGCTCATATTTTATTGAGGACATGTTATAATCAAAGAAAGCTTAGAAAGAACTCCCATGTGCTGAGAGTATTGGAGACACATTAAATATAATTCGAAATTACTGAGCTGAAAACTAATTATGAAAATCTGAAAATTAATATGAACAGATTTGAGTGTAAAACTAATGAGGTCTGCGCAATGTAACAGAAAATCTATGTACCAAGTTTAATTGAAATGTGATTAGAACCAACAAATTATGAATTATTATGCTTATTAGGGAATTAATATGAACAGACTTTTACCCAAAACTAATAA